GGACCGTATTTTTGTGAAAGATTGGTATTTTTGTCCTGATTTGTAGGAATCTGAAAAACGCGTTTCACAACTTGTCTCTTATTTAGTTTTATGCGTCATTCAAGATGGCGGCCCCCGTATAGTAAATATCGTATTTATTTTATTATCACGTGTGCGCCAGCTGACTGTGGTTTGAGGTTCAACGAATGTAGGATGTTTCTAGTCGGCCAAATCGATGGAGTTCCTGAAACATAACTAGCCGTCATTTATTTATTTACGGGTTATTGGTACATTACAAGTACGGCATGTGTATATTTATTAACTTATAAGTTTTTAATTACAAGCAAGACGTATTAATGCATTATTTCGCTGTGCAACTCAAGCACGTACAACACTAATACCTAGCACCTGTGTATGATGTAGGCTGAGAGGTCACAAGTAACACTTCTTGTCGTTTCACGATATTAATTTTCTTTTTTTTTATAAGTATGTAATTTACTATTATTTGTAGTGATCCCCCTCCAACAACCGAGCCGAGCGTTTAGGCGGGCATAAATCGGTATGTGTCGAGGATTGTTCATGCGCTTCAATTATATTGTGGTCGTTTTCGACACGTGCCGATTAGCACGTAACAAGAGCATTCGTCTAAACGCAGTATATATTTTCTGTGCCATCTTGACATGTGCGATTATTTCCCGACTCCAATACTTCTATAGGGATAAAATGTGTTAACTCAATTTCGGATTTTGCAAAGGATTGTGGGATAGAACATTTATTTATAGAAGGCGTTGGGGGGGGGGGGGCTCGTATCTTTTTCATACAGCCTTGTACAAACATCAAATGCAAATCTCTCCTGTTTTTAAGTAACATGTTGGTGGTTTTTAAATAGGTGATTTTCCGTACAATTGCGAGATCTCCCGAGATGCATGAAAGACGCGCGTCGAACGTCTGCTGTAAAGATCGAACGATTTGATTTTCAACTCGAATTTCTTTATTTCGTAGCTCACATCGACCGGCCGATCTTCGACAGAGGAATATTGCTTCCGAATACCCTCACTTAATCGATATTGTCTATCATCAAATGTGGACAGCACATTATTGACATAGAAATGTCCCCCAAAATACTTTCGCGTTTGTTGAATCCCACGCGATGTTTGACGCGACTACGACGCTGTGACCTTTGTTTGTCCTGTTTTTACGTTCGATTTCACGCATAACGCGTGATTCTCGCAGTGAACTAAAAATGGTCTATTGTATGTTTATATTGTTGGACTTTCAGTTAATTTAACTGGGTAGAATTTTTTAATATTTTTTACTGTTTTGGCTGCAAGCTGTCTAACCGTAAGTACACATTTTAACGACGCCCTGTATACAAGGAATGTCACTGTCTGCAGTAAATACACGTTTGTTTTTAACCAACCAAAATAAAAAATATTAGTAGTACAGTAAATAAAAAGACAAATGTTTCTAATGTCAAAGTGGTGAGTGATTACTTTCGTTGGTTAGATGGACTACTATTCATATCCCCCTAACGTGGCGACTGTGGTGCCTTTAAAGTTGAATTCACGCTTTGCAAATCTGTGAGGTATCATCCACTGACCAATATTTACTACATAAAACATTGCAAATTTAAAATGTAGGAATGCATCTTAACATTACACGTGCTGTTTAAGTCGCATGGAAAACATATCGAATACAGTGGCATTTTAAAATCCATATGACAGGACGAGTATTAGTTACATTTGAGTAAATACAGTTCAAACAAACATGTAAACAAACTTACAATGTATTTTACTCGCGTTGAATTGTATCCTCGGGCATTTTCACCACCTGGCAACCATCACGGTGAAAACACAGACCTGACGCTCTTAGAAAATGCGTACGGTACTTTGAGATGGTTGTTTAGACTCCCCCAATCAGTGTAACAATATTACCCCTGCGTGTGCAACATATATAAATTTGGTTATTCAAGATTATTTCAAATTTGAGTTTTTGATTTTCCTCGAATTTAGCTATTTTCGCTACTATTAAAGGGCTGTAGTCGTCGCGCCACGCATGCACGAGATATATGGGTCTCATATAAACAAAGATGACTACTTTGGCTGTTGGTATCGAAAGAATCACTGGCTGTAATCAGTGCAAGTCGCGCCCAGGTCAAACCTCATACCAGTGATTTACATCAAGAGCGTATTGGATTGTGGGAAAATCAATGTTTATCAACATATTTATCATGTTACAATATCCTGCGTCGTCTAAGATTGTTATTTGAACTTAATTATCTTATTTATTTATTAATTAATGTATTTGTCCATCACTGAGTTTACAGGGTTATATCGGTTCCGCGAAACTGCTGCGCGATTGGGCGGACGTACTGAATGTGGTTTTGCGGACTGACGAAAAGGAAATCCGTTTTAATTATTGCCCAAACATAAAAAACAACACACACACACACAAAAAACCCATAAACAATAATTTCGTTTGTCTGGTACAAATATTATTTTGTCTTCTAAACTAATCTACAATTGTGTCTAATGCAACACCGAACACGCAAACGAATAATTTATATGTGGTAATTTCGGGCTGGTGTTGAATTAGCGTATTCGTTAATTGGGACTGCGATGGCTGAAGTAAAACGAGCAGGGGCAAATATTGTGATGACTATATATTGTGAAATAGAGAGCGCTTGGCGGCATGTAGACGTGAACAAATAATTTGCAGAGTATCAAATTTCTCCAGTCACCCTTCATTTCATTTATATACGCTTCGAAAAAGAATTAGATACAAAAATGGATATAGTCACAGTTCTGATAGAGGGACTGTAATATAGTTAAAGGGCGGTAGTCGTCGCGTCGCGCATGTGCGACATTTGTGTTGATAAACATTAATTTACCCATAATCCAATGCGCTCTTCTAATGGAAATCACAGGTGTGAGTTTGACCTGGGCGCGACTTGCACTAATTACAACCGGTAACTCTTTCGATACTTTCCAATCACCTGAAAAATATTGAATTAAAGCTTACTAACGTCTCAGTTTGTAATCGTTGATCTGCGCACAGTCCCTGATAGAGGGACTGTGATCTGCGCAACAGCCAAAGTCGCCATCTTTGTTTATATGAGACCCATATATCTCGCGCATGCGTGGCGCGACGACTAACGCCCCTTTAACGGTTTACTCCGTTGAACGCACATTGTCATTCTGCAGTTAAAATGGCCCGGCGCATATGTAATACAAACACCAACGTTTAGGTGGAAGCTACTAGCTAATTATCTGAACAAAAAAAAAGTCTTTGTTTTATTTTTGATGCATCATTCCTTCCCCTGAGCTGGTTACCCAGCAGCTGACTCGGTTCAAAGGTTGCCTTCTTTATCAGTTGACTTCCTTATATAGATGCCGTGACGTCACTTGATGTCACGTGATTGAAAGCGGGAGCGAGGCACATGTCGGCCGCCATTGTTCACAAGAGTCACGCAGTGCAAAATTCTTGAATTTTACCGCCGGTTTTAGCCGCCGAAGCAGCTTTTCAGCAACAGACTATATATTAAAGGACTTCTTTGGGTCTTTAATTTTGATTTTAGACTATTTTTGTATTGGACAATTCCTCATATCTGGAGAAATCGTGCGATGTCTGCAAGTGTAGATCAGGTAAAGTATGGGTGTATTTTTTCAATAGCGGAGAATGGCTTCTGTCGTTGCCAACATGCACTTGGAGATATTTGCTAATTTTCCGTCTTTTTCTATTCCATTTCCATGCTTGTCATTGTCCATTCACCGAACAGCGACCCAAAGGCCAATCAAATCGAGGTAAGTGAACTCAATGTTCGTCAAAATTGCAATGTTATGCTGTGAATTGCTTACCGTACGGGTGGAACCAATTTTGACGCGAGTGTGAAGCCGTCTTTTTCAGAAACCAATTTGTAAAGTGCACATTCCAATCTAAATAACCCCTGCTTCCTGCTTCTATTTTTCAGTACAAAATGGCCCCTTAAACCAGAAAGAGACTGTCACGGACGAGGATTTCGACGCTTACCTGCAGAACAACCAAACTAGTCAGGTTTGTACTGAAAATATGGGACGAAATTGCATTTTAGGCCGCCACGCACGGTAACTTGTGTGCCGGCCGACCATGCAGTTTGTTGTACACAAATGTCAGTTTTGCTGTCACCATAGTGTGTTTAATCACGTTTGATTTTTTTGGGGGAGAAGCCAGGTATTCGAGCCAAATACTTTTGAGGGGAATTCTAGTTTATTTTTGGGCGATGATACTTAATATTTATTGCAGTTTTGGGGTCAGCATACTTGATCCCAGTCAAGTCAGTCCAAGATAGCATTGTTTATCAAGCGTCCTGTCGCCATTCCAGCGACCTTGTCGTTTGGATTTGCCATTGTCTTTTTTTCTAAATAAAAGAATGCCTTTCATTGATGAAATTGTATTTTGAATAAAAGAACTTTATGATTTGGTCGAAAATAAACCCTGGTTTATATGCATGGAAGGCTTGAATGTATTGCCGGCTTCATTTGCATTGCAGCTGCACCTGGCAAAGTTTCAATTCTTTCCAATCTGTCATCCAACTTTATTTTTTAGATTGTCTTGCAATTTCATTAATACAATTTAACCAAAGACTTATTTATTGTTATTTAGATAAAATTCATAGAGGGAGTGTTTATACATAAAAAAGAATTTTATAGGTTATACATGCGTAAAATATTCAGTAAATCCTAAAATTTAAGCATAGTTATAGTGTGAAGTTAACTTTTGAGCTAAGTGTAGTAGTGTTCAGCTTTGTGTATTAAGCTGAGCTCTATTAAATGATGCAATGGACTGATCAACTCTTGCATCTCAATACAAGCTGGAACCAAAATTGTCCACTTGATGTTGTTCAAGAGCCATAGCTGAAGATGAGCTTGACACTGATTAAACCAAAACTGCAATGATTAACCAGAGCTTATCAGCTGACTGTGGCGAGCATTATGGTCCCCACCATATGGCTGCTGTGAATACTGTCAGAGGACAGAATCCCATTTCTGTTTGCTTTTTAATTAAAAAAAACCTTGGTTATTGCAGTTAATTAAAATAATTGTAAATCTTTTAGCAATTAAAAACCAACATGTTTGTTCTATGAAGCATTTCTTTCGTGATAAATGGGGTTGGTCTTGTGCATGTTTGTAGGAGTAACTGAGGTTGTTGGCTGTAGATCTGAAAATGTTTAATTTTTTCTGTTTACTTTGAATATGAGAACTCTTTTGTAGACTGAACAAATGAACAAAATTAGCTTGACCTTCACATAAGAATAAACGTGTCAGTTTTGGTTGCCTTGGTAATGCCAATGTCTTTTATGATGATCATGAATAACAATGGCCGTTCTATTCTTTTATCATCATAGGTGATTCAAATCTGAGTTACAATGCAACATTGAGCCGAATATTTAATAGAAAATATCAAAAATTAGTAAATTACTTACAATGGTAAAAAATTAATCTGACTGAAATTTCTAATCGTAACTGAACCAACTCTGAACACAAGTCAAGCTTTCATTCACTTAAAAATAACAGCAAATAGAGAACTCTAATTCTTTTTTTATTTCCTGTAAATTTCCCTATAATATTCATTTTTTCTGATACATTGATTTTGGAATGGGAATGGCCCTGCATTCCTATGTTAGATTATATCCATTTATTTTTCCTACATTAATTATCCCAAGGCCAGTGAGGATATTCTGTGCACTCTGCTTTACTATTCTACATATCTGACCTTGAGTTGTGACTTGTTTACAGCATGTCCTAGAGTACATGATTTTACACTAGACAGTATTGAATTACATGCAATTAACCAGAAGGGTTACACATGTACTATATATGGCTGTTTGTAATGTGTTGTATGGTCCTTGGGTACCGCAATGAATGTCATCTTTATACATAGCTGTTGCTGGGTCACTGTGTACAGGGGAATTCACCTGCTTAAATGATGACTAGAAATATCGTTTTTAGTCACCAAAAAGTATTTGAATCGTGTATTTAATTGCTCATTTTTTTCAATGAAATTGTCAATGAGTACTATTTGAATGTTGTATATTAACAATAATGGGAAGGGCAGGTCAGAGTGAGTAAAGTCAATGTGCAGTATATTAGCATAATGGGACACCACACCCAACTGTGTCAAAGGTCATGTGCTTTTGTATGGCTTCCCTGAAAGCAGGAAGTGTAGTATATTTTTTTTATCCAAATTCAACTAGGTAGAGGCTAAATATTGAAAATAGATTTTTAAACAACCAACTTTTTAAAAAGTTGGTCTATCTCAGTTTTTGTGAAGTGAATGAAAATTTAATATTAATAGATAAATGGAACACTAGTCTATAAATTCCCTGCAAGGACAATCAAACCCTCCCAACTTGTTGTATATTGTATACAAATCGGGCTTAATGGAGGTTTGCTTAAATTCTGCAGCTAATTTTCCCATCACTTGTTCTTAATCTTAACATTTGATGGTACATATGTTGTCAGGGATGGTGCTTTGCAGATTTGCATAGTGGAATGCCTCTAACTTTCCCCAAGTCCAGTTTACTGCTATTTTGAAGAGGTGATTCATAAATTAGCATAAAATATTATAGGGCAGAGCAAATTAAGTGCAGTTTTACTGAATACAAGAACATTAGATATTCATTACAATTTATCTCTATCTGGGTAGTTTAAGGCCTTGCGTCTTCACAGAATTTTCTTGTATTCTGACTTATATTTGGCTGAATTTCAACCAGGGTATTAGCCAGGAAAGTGCAAGTTAAAAATATGCTAAATGGATGATTTTGGGGCTTTTTATTTGACCAGATGCCTGTTGAAAGGCAGCTGGCTAATGTATGGATTTCAACAGGTATGACATTTCTTTTATCGTGGGATACTTGTTGCTGCAATTTGTAAATAGTCTATATCGGCACCAATATTTCACCAGCAGTAATTTAACTACTAGTAAGAAAAAACATCCATGCTTGACTGATATATGCCTTGAACTTTAAAGAAAACGTTGTTGATATTGAAAAGTTATTGATATGTTAATTAGCAATATTCCAACTGCATGCAACATAGTTTGTATAAATAGAAGTTGTCTATACCGAGAAAAATATTCGGTATCTGTAACAAAATGAATTTGCAAATTACATTATTGAGAAGCGAATAAAAAATGCCATTGAGTTTTCTGAGAAGAATGCTGACTTGTACTGCATCACTTATTTATTCACCAGGTTTTAATTTCACTATTTTTGATTATACTGAAAATTTGCCATGTTCAATTCACAAACGAAGTAAAATATGATCAAAAAAGTGAAATTAAATAGTGAAAATGAATTGTTCACAGTACACACTATTGAAACTAAAAGTTAAATTTGTTCAGTGTCAGTTTAGAGAAGTAGTGGACTTAATTTTTTTTGTGTGGAAAGTTTCCAAGTCAGATAAGCATATCTGCATTCATCAATTTAACCCTTCTCCTGCCAGCCCCATGTACTTGAACACTGGGGTTGAGTTGGAGGGGAGGGGGCAGAAATTGTTATGTCAAAATATTGTTTTGGCATTTTATTGCTCATTTCATACACTTCAGTAAAGCTTTGAGTGATCTCAAATGCAAGTTTAATAATAGGGCTTATTTAGTCAATGCACTCGTTCACCAGAGATTTAATTTGGTATACCTTCAACGCTTTTAAATCTTATTTCCTGTGGAAGTGTTTGAGGTGTGGGGGTCAGTTGTATGACGTACTTAATCCATCACTAGTTATTACGTAAGAGACTTTTTAAACTACAAATAAATTTGGACACCTGTATTCTTTTTTTTTTTTTTAGAAACAAGTGTTTTAATAGACTAACACTAAAAATGTATTGTCTGTTAGGTCAGTATAAAATGGTCAGTTCACTTACTGGGCCACTGATATATTGTGGGATGGTATTGGGTTGCATGCTATAATCTATTGCTTCTTTGATCTGAATTATTCACTAATTAAATGTTTTTTTTCTTTCTTCTTGGAACATTGCCATGTGGAATGACTAGGCTTACAACTCCGGACCGAACATGGCACCACACAGTGAACCCTACATGCCGAGTTACTATTCATCCATGCCATTTCCTTATTTGAACACTGGTGGTGAGAGCACCTGGTCAACAGGAGATAACTTCAACTTCTATGGCGGTTATGGACCTGGGGATAGTGGAAATTATCTACAGGAGAGTAGTAATTTTTATAGCCAGCCAGGTACAACCCCTCCTTATTTGAACCAGTCTGGATTTAATTTCTTTCCTGGAAGTGCCGACTTTTCAGCATGGGGTAATACAAGCCAACCCCAGGGACAAGGAAGCCAACGGAGTACAGGACAAGGACAAAGCTCTTACTATAATGATTATTCAAGATATTCAGGAACACCTATGGGAACTAACCAGCGTTATCAAGACATGAACGGTATGGATAGTGGTGATAACAAAACATCAGGAATGAAAACTGTTGAGCAAGGAATTTCAGGACTGAACATCGGATCTGATACTAAGTCTGGTATTAATGCGGGAAATGCTGGGTCTGCGGGTGATAGTAAGGTAGACTCAGAAGTGGCTAATTCTCCACCACAAACTTCTCAAACTGCTGCAAACACGACATCTGCTGTAAGTTCGGCCCCAGCTCCCGCAATCACTGCAAGTAAACCTGTGTCATGGGCTTCTATTGCTAGCAAGCCTGCAAAACCTCAACCAAAGTTAAAACCGAAAAGTGCTACCCACGCCCCAGTTCCAGCTCAATTGCCTCCCATGAAACATACTATGGATATTGGAACTTGGAATGGAGGAGCCAAGTCTGCTCCAAAACCTGTACCGGCTCCTCAACAAGGACTGCCTCAGCAGCCGCAGCATCCGCAACCCCAACCTCAGCAGCAGCAGCAGCAGCAACAACAACAGCAGCAGCAGCAGCAGCAGCAACAACAACAACAACAACGCTGGACTCAGCAACGTGGTCGCGGGGAATCCAGTTATAGCAACCCGTCACCTTCAAGCAATGCTGGACTTGCTCCTATCTCTGCACCGGTCAATGCAGCCAACAACACGTCGTCTCTGCCGCACCCGGTTCTTGAGAAACTGAGATCTGCAAACGAGTATAACCCCAGTAACTTCAATCTGAACGCTAAAGGAGCTCGCTTCTTTATCATCAAGAGCTATTCTGAGGACGACATCCATCGATCTATTAAATATAGCATATGGTGCAGCACAGAACATGGTAACAAACGCCTGGACTCTGCATTTCGTGAACGCCAAGGAAAGGGACCTGTATACTTGTATTACAGTGTCAATGGCAGTGGTCATTTCTGTGGCATGGCCCAAATGATGTCCGAGGTAGACTACAACACGACCACAGGTGTTTGGGCTCAGGATAAATGGAAGGGGAAATTCGAGGTGAAATGGATTTATGTAAAGGATGTTCCAAACAGTCAGCTGCGACACATAAGACTGGAAAATAATGAGAACAAACCTGTGACTAACTCGCGTGACACGCAGGAGGTACCTGTTGAAAAGGGTAAACAGGTGTTGAAGATAATGCACAACTACCGCCATACCACCTCCATTTTTGATGATTTTGGTCACTACGAGAAACGTCAGGAGGAAGATCATTCTCGCAAACCGGTAAGTATATATTGCAGTCTGTTAATCAATATTGTAGTTTGTCAAAAATGTTCAATTTATGCACAAGCTGGATATTTTGGAGGTATATCATAAAATGAATATCTTTCAGTCATGTGTTTTTTTCCACTTTTTTTTATATATTCAATATTTTTGGCTGCAATTGCCACAATAAGTGCAGCCTGCACTAAAAATTTGTTATCATGACATTTTCACATTTGGGTGCACACATTTCTCTGCAAAATTTGGCAAACTGGAAAACAATTTTAGTAATTTCATGTATTTTCTCACTTTGTCAGTTTTATGTTTACATTCAAAAATTTTGACTACTAGTTTCAAATTTACTGCAGTACAGTAAACATATTACTGCAAATAATTGTAGCAGAAACAAAATTTAAAGTGACTTTAGAGCGGATTAGTAGTGTACAGATTATTTAATCATACATGAATTAACTTGCTATACCAACTCTAAAAGCGATAAACAGCTGTAAATCTGAAAGACAAAGCTGACATCAATTTGTATGTTAATATTAATATCGGTAAAAAAAAGCATTTTGGGCCAAGATTTTTAAAAACAATTGTGTTGAAAGTGCCTTTTTATGCAGTATTTTGGTAGAAATCAAAAGTCACAGGTGACCCATTTCAAACTGATGTGTGCTTTGACCAGAAACAAATATTGAAATGATATTTTGTCATCTATTATTTTCCCCTCAAATATTTCCACCATGACCTGTAACCAATAGAATTAAGTTCATTTGTTTCCTGAAAGGTGCAAACAGGTTTGTAAGCTGTTACACTCGTATTTTGGTTATGGTTCCAAAAGGTAAAATAAATTGATGTAAATGCATACCTTAGTTTATTCTATTGAAGTATGCATTTATGGATCAATCCAAATCAAACCGTGCATTGCAAATATACAACTCGAATTTCCAAATTTGAATTGAATGAGTTGTGCATGTGCATTTAATAGTTGTATGCACAACTGCAGGACGTACCAGAAGCAGTACTTTTTGAAAATTACCGGTACATCCTTTGAAAAATTGTATTTTTTTTTTTATTTTCTATTACACATGCAAAAGCATGTTTACTGGTTTTGAGATTTGGTTGTTGGAATCCATAATTTTATTTAATTCATCGCTACAAATCAAAGCAAAATTACTGTTTTCAATGACCTACCTTTTTCACCCATTCATGTTACAGAAAAGTGTTGTTACTGTGGAGTATGTCATAGTTTACGAGTCATTATGTTCACCAAATTGTTATCTTTTATCTTCTAGGCGAGTAGCAGCAAGAAAGGAGCCAATGATCGTAATTAAAGAGGCGTCATTTGATTTGATTTTCAACAAACTAGTAATATGAGGCGAAACCTTAGAGATATGTGCCTATTTTAAGGAACAAAAATCATCTCAAATTTGGAACTGTAGTTAAACATTATACTGGATTTTTTTTTCCCTTTGAACTGTGATAGGACCCTATACAGCCTGAAAATAGCTTGAGTGTGTGACTCGTCAGCTTCAAGAAAATTTGACTTCGAAAAATGAAAAACTGATTTTGTGAACAAGTTAAGACTTCGTTTAAAAATTCTGTGTATTTTAGACGGCTTGTCGGTTTAAACCAACCCAGCACTTGCTGTGGATGCTTTTTTACCTACATCGTTAAATAGCACGCACTTTGAAAAAACTCTGGTTATTATGTCTCTCTACTCAGATAGTACAGAATCTTTTGACTTACCGGTAATTGCTGCTGAATGAAACTGGAAGTAGGAGCAGCTTCGTGTGGTATCGATTGCACCTCTACAAGAAGAACCCAGATTCTAGGATTATCACGTTTCAAACTTAAAAAGATGGCAATGTCTTTATATAAAACGCAAATTTGCATTGCTAGATAAACTTGAGATACACCTCAAACTACTTGGTGGAATTCTCTACAGTGCTGGAGGATTTTACCTATCTGAACACCTTGAGAACGGGACAATGTAATATACAATCATATGACTCGAGTGTGTGCCGTCTCGGCAGCACGAAACAATCCCAATGGAAAAAAAAAAAAACACTGCGAATTTGAAAACAGTATCACATGCTAAAGACTCTTGGATTCGTCCATACCTAGTGATAACTAGCCTTGGTTTTTTTTTATGCGACTTGTGTGCACTGGGGTGTAACAGGCTTTGATGTAATAGGTGTACGAAACGACATTTACATATGCCTCGGTTGATACCCAGGAACAGGCTTCACCAAATAAGACTGGGTTTGATTTTAAATTGCTTTGAACTTCCTACGATTAACTCTGATAACAAAAAAAAACTCTGGAAATCTAGTTCCAAAAATTTGTAGAACTATGCTTCTGTGGATTTCGACAAGGCGACGGGAGAGAGGAATCGAGAACCATTGCACTTAAAACATTCATGTGCTTAGTGTTTTATTCTATTTGAAGTGACCAGTAACTGACCCTGTGGTTTATAAAATAGTTGACAATCGCTCATTGACACCCTTTCCCCTCCAAATACCATCATGTTTGTCATTTGTTTTCTATGATTTTATGTCCAGCCTTGTCGGATTCATTGCATGTTTAGTTGAAAATAAATGCAAATCATACTGTATACCTTATCTCGTCTTGGAAAAAGATATTTTATTTACCTCTTTTGTACTCATTCCGGTCGTACTGTAAACCATTTTATTTTTATTGCAAGTCTTTTTCAGAATTTTACAGCATTCATGAAGATAAGATGCTATGTTGGATGACCTCTGTAAATTTTGTTGCACAAAATAAAACTGGTTTACAGTATTCGTAACAAGTGAGGGTGGGGTGCCATTTTAACTCGACATTCTGCTTGTTTCCTAGTGTTGAGCACTATTTTCAGTGCAATTTTCAATTCCTCATTGGGGCAAAAATGCTAATGCAATTTCGTGCCAAGTGTTGTGAAAGTTTTAAGTATCTGTTATGTATGTAGGTTTTCTCAAAGTGAAACTGCTTAATCACATGGATTGCACCACGTGTTCATGGGTAATTAACTCCAGCTCTGTCCATTAGGTAAATTAATGCTTATTGTGCTCGCTTACTCAAACTGATTGACGGGCATTTTGCATACATTATTGCATGATTTTTAATTATCGCGGCATGCTTGAGCGAAAACGTTTCTACATCCAAAGACCAACCGGATGAGTGTAATCGCTGGCGGACATATTCATGCCCCCGTAGAAATGTATTTGGAATCACAGCTTGATCTCTAAACATCGTAAATGGCACGTTTCCCTGCATCAATGAGAGTGTCTTGGTTCGGATTAGCATACTATAGTTGTGGTGGCCCATATTTATAGTATCTGTTCCTCTAGAAGAACCAGAATAAGTGCCTTTGACTGTTATTAGAGCAAATACGACTTAAGGCATCAAAGTTTTCTGGTTCTGTCAAAGCACTATGCCTCTGAATTTAAGCTAAGTTTGTCACGGAGGAGATTTTGGGTGGTGTCAATGTTGATCTTTCTACAGCATTTGCTCCATTAGAAGGGCATCCACCATGTATTTGTTGACTATAAACCCATCAGGTCATTAACATAAATAGAACAAATGTGGTCTGTACAAGTAGTCTTGACTTGTAAAAATTAGAAGAAAGAAAAAATTACGGCAGATGCCATTGTTTGCAAGGTCAATAAATCATTTTCATTCATGCATTTCAGTGTACATATCAAGATGACCAAATTCATGTGCATCTGCTTAGTGTTTAAATAATTTTGCTGAACTGATTATTATTGATAATTGATATGTTAAGGCCCAATTCACTTGCCCCAGGAAAGTGTGAATTGGAGGTGTGGCTATGCCAATGAGTGTTCATCACCTGCATAGCCTATGACTCATCTTGTTTCAGCAGTCCAACATCACGTGACTTTGATTGACAGTTATTTATGATTAGTAGCTTGTCCCTTTCCCCGGTTTGTGTTTTTGACTTTTATTTGCCAAAATCTCGGCTCATACACTATTTACTGTCATAAATACTAGTCTCTACGGTGATATTCATAGTTGCATGCAACCAATTTGGCATGACATAATCGACCTGTAAGTTCGAGAAAACATGCTTTTACCAGAGCTTGGCTGGAGCTGTTTACTACAGTGTGACAAGCAAGGAAATAATCCCTATTGTTTAGAAGCATATTTATAGTATACCTGGGCCTTTAATGCTATTGCTCGCATACTGAACTATTAAACCAGTCTATTGCCTTTTTACCTTGCCTGTACCATCAAAGATGGAAGGGAAAGGTATATTAAGGGAAAATTTTTGTCTGGCGTCGTCGTCGTCGTCGTCGTTAATTGTTATTGTGTGCATAATAACTTTACTAATTCTGTTCCAAACTTTATCAAACTTGGTCACCTTATTCATCAGTATAAAGTCTTCCCTGAGTTTGAACAACAGATGTCCTGTATGAATATATCGTGCAAAAATTGAGAAAATCTGATAAAATATTTTGACTGTTTCTACTTGACTGATCACTGGTGAT